ATTACAGAAGTGACCCTCAGAGGAAATGCAGAAGTGGGGAGCTTTCCCCTCACTTGATTCTCTGAGCCTCCTTGGAAGGCACAGCTCAACGTTGTCACCATGACGGGAAGAGACAGACATTTATTTTCCCTTTCTACTACAAAAGTGTTTTATTGCAGTTTGTGTTCCTGTTGGTAATTTCCCCTCACTTCCTGTCCTGGTGACAACATTTTGATTTGAGAAGTTGGGGGTATTCTTACCAATGGGCCGGGAGAGCAGTAAAAACTAAACTACCATACTATCTAAAAGGAAAAGAGAACATTTTGGCTTTATACAGGCTGTATGGGGAGAAAAATATTCCAGACAAGAAACTCCTCCTGGGGGCGGGCAGACTCAGTCCTTCCGGCTGTTGTGGAACTACAAATCCCATGAGGCATTGCAAGACTGTGACAGCCACAGGGATGACTCCCAGAGACAGATGCATGATGGGGTTTGTAGTTGCACCACAGCTGGAGGGCCAGAGTTTGCCCATCCCCACTTAAAGGATGACGAAAAACCAGTGTCAGACAAGCCATGCGTCTGATGGGCTCTCGTGTTTTCCGGTGCTGACTTGTTTGCCTTTTATCACTTTGCAGATCGTGTCTTCTATGATGAGATGAAACCATTCACCTGTCTGGACGGCTCCAAGGTCATCCCCTTCGACCGAGTCAACGACGACTACTGCGACTGCACCGACGGGTCCGACGAGCCTGGTAAGGATCTAGTATCTGTACGCTGGAAAGTCTTCACTGTGGTGCCATCGTCGTAGATCACAGACGTCCGCAAGGGACTTGTTTGCCCTTTTGTCTTTTTAAAGGGACATGTTTGTGTTTAACCCCTTGAAGCCCCTGGGTGTTACACCCCCTTCCTGTCCCAGCCATTTTTCAGTATTCATGGCTGAGGTACTTTGACATTTAACAAGCCCCCTATGCAGAGGCGTAACTAGCGAGCTCAGGGCCCCGGTGCAAGAATCCATAAAGACACCCACCAAGAAAAAGATTAAATACTTTAAAAACATTTAGACCAAAAAAAAATTCGAAACAAACCCCCTCCTCTTCCATGTCCCCAGCTTCCCCCCTTCTCGTCCCCAACTTTTAGCTCCCCGACCCCACACTCTCCTCTCACACGTCCCCTTCATAATCTCAGCTCCCTATAACTCCCTCTTTGTGTCAGCAGCACGCCTCTGACACCCAGGGAGTTGGAGCTTTCCATAGAACACAGGCAGTTCTATGGTCGGCAGCCGTTCTGTGTGATGAGGGGGCGGGGATAACCCGCTTCCCACTCCTTGGCTGCTGCGCCGGCTCGATCATTCTTCACGCTTCGCCCGAAACAAGGTGAGGGGAGCAGCGTGAAGCATGCAGGGCCCAGGACAGGAGGAAGAGGTCCCGGTACTGATATTAGCGGTTACCGGGATATTAAATATCCTGGTAATCAGCGGTTACTACGGGCCCCGTCCTGTAATGGTAAAGCAAAACAAACGACAAACGCACTCAACAATTTGTTACCAGTTATACAGTAAGGTGCACACGAAATGGGCTTTGAACAGTAGAACAGTAGAAAGGCATCATGGCACACTCACAAACTAGCATGTAAAACAACTTGTCTCACCACTAAGGACAATGACAGAGGTTTGGATACACGTCTTCTGCAAAGGATGTGTAAGCCGCACTGCCGCGCCAAGGCACCTCTTATAGTGCGGTCCTAACTCTAAACTATGAGAGTCTCCATCTTGGAGCACATGGGGCAGAAGATATCAAATTGGGTGCAGGCCTGTCAGGAGGACGCCCCACCTCCTTAAAGGTACAGAAACACACAAGGGATCCCGCACATCCCATTGGCAGCTGAGAAACCCCATGCGTCGCTGCACCAAATCGGTAAAGCAAAACAAACGACAGGCCCATTTCGTGTGCACCCTACTGTATAACTGGTAACAAATTGTTGAGTGCGTTTGTCGTTTGTTTTGCTTTACCGATTTGGTACCTTTTTAAGGAGGTGGGGCGTCCTCCTGACAAACCTGCACCCAATTTGATATCTTCTGCCCCATGTGCTCCAAGATGGAGACTCTCATAGTTTAGAGTTAGGACCGCACTATAAGAGGTGCCTTGGCGCGGCAGTGCGGCTTACACATCCTTTGCAGAAGACGTGTATCCAAACCTCTGTCATTGTCCTTTAGTGGTGAGACAAGTTGTTTTACATGCTAGTTTGTGAGTGTGCCATGATGCCTTTCTACTGTTCTACCGTCCTGTAATGGGCCCCCTTTAAGTGGCGGAACTCCAGTGCGCGGTCGCAGCTGGGACCCTGGTAGTTCCGCCACTGCCCCTATGTGATAGCAAAGAGGATGGGACATGTCCTCCTTTATGGAGACATCAGGGGTCTATTAGACCTCTAATGTCTCCCAGGGACCCCTCAAGAGTGAGCTGTCTAATTGCAATGAGCCGGGAGGCAATGGTTAAAGAGACCCTGCTACAGGAGAAACCAGGAAAGGAGGAGGCTGGCACAAATCACATCCAGCACCTAGAGATGCCATACTTGCAGCACCGTCCCAAACCTCCGTGTCAGATCTGGACTGATTTGACCGGCAAAGCCTGAGACCTCCTTGGCTGATTTTTGGTCGGGCCCATGTGGTTAAGATTTTCAGGGATTCCAGGAAAAGGTCCATTTGTAACATTATGTTTTATGTATTGCTGTCACTGAAGTAGAAATTGTAATAAGGGGAACATTACAGGGGGTAGAGATCTACAGCAACACTCCTCAACCGTGACCAGGAGGAACTATATTCCTGTAATTCCTCTCATTCTATACCATGTCCGCTGAGGCTTCAGTTACAGATCCTTTATAGGAACCCTCAGCTGTGGTGAAACTACAAATCCCCCTGCATGCATCTGCTTCTATGGTCTTGCAATGCCTCATGGGACTTGTAGTTCTACAACAGCCGGAGTGCTCAGGTCACCTACTCCTGCTCTAGTCTATAACTGGAGTGTGATCTTTATATATGAACACTTTGATAAGGATTGTCACCTCTTTTGTACTCCTCAGGTACCTCTGCGTGTTACAATGGAAGATTCCACTGCACCAACCCCGGGTACCGGCCCATGTACATACCCTCATCTCGGGTTAATGATGGAATTTGCGGTAAGTAGGGAACGGGGCGCCGAAATTGGAGGAATGCAGGTTAAAGTAAAACATCTGCCATATTTTGTACTTCTTTTAGGTTAGGGAAAGATTAGAACCCATGTCAGTATTTTATTTCCATCTGTCGTCCTCTTGTGGGATTTTTCTCTACTTCCTGTCCCACATACATGACTGCAAATGAATACAAAATCTTCCAAAGTAGGGGGAAATCTTCCCTTGGCGGACGTCCCCCAGGCAAGGTTTCCCCTATACTTCTGCTGTGTGGGGACTAAAACACTCACACAATTTCAGTACCTACGGTATGTCCCTGCAGGGAAGCTTGCCTTACAGTGATATTAAACCATCATTTTATAATAAGGAGTTCCAGAGGTGCTTAAATTTACTTTTTTTTTTCCCTTTAAGCTAGCCACGCCCCCACACTCAGTCACAGTGCGTCCATAGACTCGTGCAGCCAGCCACGCCCCCACACTCAGTCACAGTGCGTCCATAGTCTCACATAGCGTGCAGACAGCCACGCCCCCACACTCAGTCACAGTGCGTCCATAGTCTCACATAGCGTGCAGACAGCCACGCCCCCACACTCAGTCACAGTGCGTCCATAGACTCACATAGCTTGCAGACAGCCACGTCCCCACACTCAGTCACAGTGCGTCCATAGTCTCACATAGCGTGCAGACAGCCACGTCCCCACACTCAGTCACAGTGCGTCCATAGACTCGCATAGCTTGCAGACAGCCACGCCCTCACACTCAGTCACAGTGCGTCCATAGACTCACATAGCTTGCAGACAGCCACGCCCTCACACTCAGTCACAGTGCGTCCATAGACTCACATAGCTTGCAGACAGCCACGCCCTCACACTCAGTCACAGTGCGTCCATAGACTCGTGCAGACAGCCACGCCCCCACACAGTCGCAGTGCGTCCATAGACTCACATAGCGTGCAGACAGCCACGCCCCAACACTCAGTCACAGTGCGTCCATAGACTTGTGCAGCCAGCCACGCCCCCACACTCAGTCACAGTTTGAGTGACAGCAGAAGGAGCCTATCACTCCTCTGCCATCAGTACCCTCCCACGCAACCAGGAAGTTCGGGAAATGGAGGATGTCTTCCCCTGATCCAGGGCAGAAGACAAGTGACCACAGGTAAGTGTGGGGGAAGGGGGGTTCCGGAAAGGTACTGGCCATTTTTTACCTTCATGCAGAGAATGCTTTGCCTTTAGTACAACTTAAAGGAGAACTATGGGGTTAAGGCTTTTCCCCATAGTTCTCCTTAGGGTAACGGGAGAACACAAACTAGCGTCCTCCCGTCACCCAAAGCTCAGTATACTGAGACGCTGCAGCCGGAACGGATCCCGACATTGATGCCGGGATCCGCCCAGCTGCGGGATAGGCAGAGCCAGCTGTCAATCTCTAGAGGCAGAGCCAGCTGTACCCGCCCCCTCCCCGTCCGTTCCGCCAGTCAGCGCTGGAGGATCGGACAGGGGAGGGGGGGACAGTCACTCACGGCTCTCTGCAGGGATAGATCGAGAAGTGAGCGAGCGCCGGTATGTGTTCGCTCACCTCCCGATCTACTGAGCCGACCTGTGACAGTCTCATTGTCACAGGTCGGCTCAGATTATGAGGCTGAGTGATTTTTCACTCGCCTCATAATTCTCCTTTAAACTGTACAAGGGGAATGATAGCCGCTTGGTCAGTGTAGCTCTAGCATAGCCGGTACACAGTGCAAGGGTCATTTATACACATTTGCGTAATACCAGAAAACAGAACTTTGGTGGAGAAATATTATATATATATATTACTGTAAGAGTTGACACTGTTTTCTACTGTGCAGATTGCTGCGACACTACTGATGAGTATAACAGTGGAGTGCATTGCCAGAACACTTGCAGGTAAGACCGTCTCTGCTGACATATAGATCATGATATTTATAATGATATTTATTAAAGTGTTGTAGAGGGTTCTGGAGAAAACAAACTTTTTTTTTTCTTCCCATTCTTCATTCTCCTTGGGGTCCTGAGGAAAGCAGAATGAGCTTCGATAAGTAGGGCCTTGTCTCGTTTCAGCAAACTTCAAGCAGATTTAACCCCTTCGTGACTTTTGACCCCCCCGCCGGACACCGCCGCTGTGCTTCCCGGGCTCCTTTGCCCCTCCTACGGGGCCCGGGACCGGCTTCCTTGGTGTCGGCGGAGAGCTGGGGAGGAGGTCGACGAACTTCCGTTCATCGATCTCCTCCCCGTTCTATGGGATTACAGTTTTTCGGCGTTTCACGGACGCACACAATTTGTAACCTGGGAATGTTGGGTATCGTTTTACTCGTTGTTACCTCATCTTTTATATTTCATTTAAAAAATAGGTATTTTGTTGTGTTTTGGGGCATTTTAATTACATTTTTCACTAAATGTTGGGGCTTAATAAGGAGTGCGCATCATACAAATTTGCAACTACCACCATTTTATTCTATAGGGTCTTGGCATTCAGAGAATATATAATGTTTGGGGATTTTAAGTCATTTTCAGGCCTAAAATGTGGAATATAACATGGGTGCAAAAAATGGAAAAAAAGGCCTCAGTCATGAAGGGGTTAATGAAGCCCTGGGGAAACCTTTGGCAGAGATAACCTGGTGGCCACCATTGTGGATTCCTCATTCCACTGTTGACTGTCATGTTTACCCTCCTGCTTCAGTTACTAAGAGCAAGTATATGGTAATGGGCTTTTCTCTGACTTTTCCTAAACTGCATACTTCTGGGTCAGTGACGTTGAAAGCACTGAAGCCGCGGAGTCAGCAAGAGGGCCAAGCAACTAGCATTTTCGGAAGGTCCGCAACGGTGGTCCCTGTATTTCTCCTAAGAAAGGTATACTCTAAAGCAGTGGTTCTCAACCTGTGTAAGCTCAGGACCCACCATTGTCCTTGGTCATTAGGTCGCGACCCACGTGGAACGCACGGCATTGCGGTACCATGTTCCGGTGCGGGCGATCGAGCTATGGGTGGGAAGTGTGTTTTGGGTGCCATTCAAATGACTGGCAACACAATGCACCTGCCACACCAGAACGCACAGTAGGTGTGATTGTGTGACGTAGTGCATTAATCGCATTGGGCTGTGTGATTTAACGCACTGTACTAGTGTGAAGGCGGCCCTCAAAAACACTGACAGACACACACAACCACAGACACAATCTCACTCGCTCACAGACATTCTCACACAAAAAAAAATGATTATTTTTTTTTTAAAGATCCACCCAGTCTCTCTAATTTACAAGAACTGGAGTGGATCATTAGTCTGGGGTCCAGTGTGGGCTGCTGTGCTGTGATGGAGCTCCATCCATATGTGCATCGCTTGTACAGCTCCCTTGCACGACCTGTGAGGTGCCGGGAGCCAGAATGTGACGTCACTTCGGTCCAGGCACCTCTTCAGGACACATGAGGGAGCTGTATAAGCAATGCACATATGGATGGAACTCCCTCATGGCCATAGCCCCAGCCCACCCCACCTGAAGCTGACACTCGGCGCCGGGCAGCATATTTTGAATGCTGCTTGATGCGAGAACTGACTGTCTGGCGCTCTCACCTAGAAAAGTGGAAGGCACACAGCGACCCACTGAACATGGGGTCACGACCCACCAGTTGAGAACCAAGGCTCTAAAGCACCTTTTCAGCTCCAGTATGAGACTGTTGAACAACTTGATCAAGCATTCTAGAGCCTGGTGGCCAGAAATACACCCATTAAATTGGACTTCTGCTTGAAAAGTGAAGATTTGCTACGTTATAGGGAACATGATTATTATTATTATTATACCTAAACAGTACCCTGAAAATGTTTGTTTGTTTGTTTTGTCTGGAGTGCCACCTATAAAATAGCAGTGCACTTCTTAGTAAGTGAGTGTGCCTAGGCACTCCTCTGCAGATAACCTCATAACTGTATATCTGCAATGTGAGATCACCAAAGGCACTGCTGCCCCTGTTATTACTATGGGAGTATTAGACGGTCACTCCAACACAGAGACACAATGTAGAACAAGGTAAGTCCATAATGGGGAAAAGATCAGCTGCTGGGAGACTACAGGCAATGCTGGTTACTACTCCTTCACCCTCTGCCTTTTTTGGGGGATCCACAGTTGGCTCATCTTTTTAATTGCATTTAGGACTAGAGCTGAAACATGGTTTAAGGGATTTATGAAAGCTGCTGGAAGCTTGTTTACCCGCTATACACTACTGCTTTTCACAATCTCTATACCTGTTGAAGGGTGTGCGAGCTAGGCCTCATAACATCTCTTCCCTATTTGCTATGTTTGTCAGGGAGATGGGTCGGAAGGAACGAGAAGAGCTGGAGAAGAAAGCTGAAATGGCTCGGGAGGGAATGCTGTTAAAACAACAGTATATTGAAGACGCTCGAAAGGGACGGGAGGAGAAACAGGTATTGTCTTGTCTGTAGAAACGGACACGTCCTCCACAGAAATGTTTTATGAACATCGTTCCCTAAAGATAAGTGACGTCTCTGAAACATGCACTATGTGGCCACCCATCCAAATTGAGTTCTGGTGTCTCCAGTGAAGGGTGCTGTTAATTCTTCAGCAGTCTAAGACATTTTAAACAATTGTGGGCTTCCAGCCTAGGGTGATGGAGGACAGTAGACATCCGTAGTGTAGCACGGGTGATGGAGGACAGTAGACATCCGTAGTGTAGCACGGGTGATGGGGGACGGTAGACATCCGTAGTGTAGCACGGGTGATGGGGGACGGTAGACATCCGTAGTGTAGCACGGGTGATGGGGGACGGTAGACATCCGTAGTGTAGTGCAGCATGGGTGATGGAGGACAGTAGACATCCGTAGTGTAGCACGGGTGATGGGGGACAGTAGACATCCGTAGTGTAGCACGGGTGATGGGGGACAGTAGACATCCGTAGTGTAGCACGGGTGATGGAGGACCGTAGACATCCGTAGTGTAGCGTAGCAGGGGTGATGGAGGACAGTAGACATCCGTAGTGTAGCACGGGTGATGGGGGACAGTAGACATCCGTAGTGTAGCACGGGTGATGGGGGACAGTAGACATCCATAGTGTAGCACGGGTGATGGAGGACAGTAGACATCCGTAGTGTAGCACGGGTGATGGAGGACGGTAGACATCCGTAGTGTAGCACGGGTGATGGGGGACGGTAGACATCCGTAGTGTAGCACGGGTGATGGGGGACGGTAGACATCCGTAGTGTAGCACGGGTGATGGGGGACGGTAGACATCCGTAGTGTAGCACGGGTGATGGAGGACAGTATGAGACGCTGACAAATGTTTCTATGGCAGGCCAGGCTGCAGGAAATGGTGGAGAAGCGTCAGAGCTCGCAGGCAGAAGTTGACTCTCTGCGTTCTAAGAAAGAGGAGGCAGAGAAACCAGAGAAGGAAGCAAAGGAAGCACACAAGAATGAGTGGGAAGGTGAGAGCAGTGCGGTCGCTCTATGTACGCTCTGTGTATATGGGGGTACATGTACATTTATCTGTATACATGTATGTGTGTCTTAGAGAGGAGAGAAGCAGAGAAAGCTGCCTTGGAAAAGAAGCAATCGCTGGAAGCTTTTACTGAGCTGGATCAAGACTCTGATGGGACGTAAGTGTGCACTTTTCTGGTATTTCATTAAGGGGGGGGGGCATTCCTATGGAGATCTTTTGGTCCAGGGGTAGGCAACCGCAGCACTCCAGCTGTGGTGAAACTACAAATCCCATTGGGCATTGCAAGGCTCTGACAGATTCATGATTCCCAGAGGCATGATGAGATTGTAGTTTCAGCACAGCTGGAGTGCTGAGGTTGCTACCCCTGTTCTAGTCCATGAATCATCCATGCCTGCTGTAGGGGTGAGGTAGAAGGGTTCCTCATCTATTGCTTATCGAATATTTTAGCCTCATACACGTGAGTTGATTTTTGCTTTCACACTGCCGTGTAGGGGACATTAAGGAATACATAGGTTAATGTTTATATCTAGGCAACAACAGAGGAGCGCCTTCCCTAGTGCAGCAAACTTTATTATATTGGAATAAAATCCAAGAATTGTACTCGCACAGACTCGGGTACAAAGAGCCTTTCCATTTCATGGCACCGTACACAACAGTTGCAGCAACAATCCAGGATAAGTAGAAGCATGTAGGAGTTTGTACTGCAAACCTGCATAGAGCTGCTATCCGAGCATACCCTGCCCAAGACTGTCGTGTTTCCTCAGAGCTTCCGAGGAAGGGGGTGTGGCTGCAGAAACGCGTCAGCCTTGGGCAATGTATGCTCAGAAACTGGCTCAGTGCTGGTTTGCAGTACTCCTACATGCTTCTGCTTATCCAGCATTGTTTGTGCCACTGTTGTGTACGGTGCCGAGTGGGAAGGCTCTTTGCACATGTTTCTGTGTGATACAATTCCTGGATATTATTCCCATATAATAAAGTTTGCGGCACTAGGGAAGGCGCTTTTTTTTTTTGTTTTTGCCTAGATGAGTATTAAGCTGCCCAACATCCCCCTCC